AACTCCCATCTTCTGGCATCTGGGCAGGTCCATTGCTCCTCAGGCCAGCTGGCAACTGTACATGGGAAACCCTGTCACTAGTAAGTTATCCTATAGTCTTTCATTAGTAATTCCATAACAGAGTACAGTCCAAGTGTTACCAATGACTGTCTCACTGAGGAGTTAAAAAACACACCTCCCATCAAATCAATAGAGGCTAGAATTCCTTTCATCTGACTGGATTCTGCATCCTAAATCTGATCAATGGACTGCTATGTTTCTTTATGTGTGTGAGTGTGTGAGTACATGCATTTGAGAAGTGACCATTTAAAGGAGCCTAGGAGATTGGCATGCCAGTTGGTAAACTTTGCCCAACATATCAAACCATACAGTCCATTCATTTCTTCTTCATGGTGAAAAAGACTGCCAAATTAAGAAAACTGCAGGCATTAGGCTGGCCCTGTGTTAATTTGTTCCATAATCTAGCCATTATCAAAATACATTTGTTTTCCATCATCAGGAACAAATGTTTAAAGAAAGATACATTTTTAATAAGGATGCCAGGTCTTGGGGGCACTTAATGCAGTTTGGGGGAATTGCTAAGCTTCCCTGAGCCTCACATGGGGAGCTGAATCTCAGGATGGGCAGGATTGAAGGGAAAAGTTTGATTTTTGTATATGAAGTGGCTCTAAAAGTTGAGGGATCCATCTTAGCTATTCCCAGCTGCATCAGAGTTCACCGCCCCAACTCCAACATGTTTTTTTATATGTGTTGTGTTTCCACAGTGTTATCATACTCAAAACCCTAGAGCAATGGAAAGCGAGTTCGGACACAGCCACTATGTATATACTCTTTGGCCCATCATGCCACTTGGAGCAAGACAGGGAGGGAAGTGCCAGTATTGTGACTCACAAGCCTTTGTGTTACAGAATTTGCTGTGGGCTTGCAATGAGCCTTGTTCAAGTCCCAGTAGTCAAGTAGGGCTTGGCAAAACTCCTTGTGCATCATGTGCATTGTAGGCAAAGCTCTGTGGGTTGCACACCCTAGCAGGCAGCAACTACTGCAGCAACTGGATATAGTTTGTTACCTGTACAGCTGCCAAAAAAGGAGGGTGGGTGGGAATTTTTGCCCCCAGCTCAAATTTGCAATGTTATCTGGTTAATCCGGTTTTATCTGAATTTTGGCTCATTTATCTGGATTCTCTTTGTGTCCAATTCCACAATTAGCTGACCCAGAAGAACCCCGACAACCTATTCCCAATGTTGTTCTGCCTCAGTTCTGTGACTCCTTGATTTTAAATTTTGGCTCTAAATCTCAGAGAATGGGATGCAGTGTGGCCAACCTGGAACTGCAATTCTTGACTGTGTAGACTGCCTTAAGCTAGCCAACAGCGTTTGGGCCACTTTGGCTCAGGAAAGATGCAAGTAAAGTGGGGATGTAACAGTAAGATGGTACTCAGTGAGTTAAGTACCTGGCTGTGGAGCTGGAGGTTAGGGGTTTGATTCCTCACTATGCCTCCCATGAAAACAGCCAATGTGTGGCCTTGAGCAAGGTGCACAGCCCCAGGGCACCCCCCAGAAGAAGGGAATGGTGCACCATGTCTGTGTATTCCCTACTTAGAAAAGCCTGAAAAAGTTTACTGAAAAACCAGAATTTATTTGACAGCACATAATTTATTAAACTGACTGGATATTTCAGTGGTTTAGATATTAGTCTGTGGAGCCAGAGGGTGGGAGTTCAATTCCCCACTGTGCCTCTTAAGAGAAGACCTAGACTATATGGCCTTGAGCAAGCTGCACAGTCGCAGGGCGGCCCCAGAAGAAGGGAATAGTGCACAGTTTCTGAGTACATTCTCTACTTGGAATACCCTGAAAAGGGTTGCCATAATTCAGAATGGACTTGATGGCACAAAGTAGTGGCATTTAGAATTATACTTGATAAGGAAAAGGGTAGGAGGGAGACATTTCTCCCTAGAATCTGAGGCCATCCAATGAAGCTAAACAATGGGAGACCCAGGAAAGCTGCAAGGACAGTAATGAACAATTTTGAGAACCTTTGGGTTTCATTTTGAGATGCATAGTTTTTGGAAATGTTCTCCTCACATCTCCACTTGGCTATACTGGCCAAAGGGTTTCTGAGATGTGTTGCCCCCCCCAAAATGAAAATTTCCCAGCTCTAGCCATGAGAATCTCAAGGAAGTTTCCTACAAGTGTGTAAGCATCCTTTAGTCTCAAGAGACTATCGTAATGTGCTCTGAATAGAGGTCTTGGAAAAGCATCTAGTGTGGCTGAGAAGGCCAATTTAAGAGTGACAATCCCTTCTACACTGAAGACAAATACAATCTGTCCCCTGTCCAGCTCCCTGATTTGGCTGGTTTCAGGACTGCCTCTTTGCCTCAGCCTGCTGAACAAGCATCTCTTCAAATTGTGAGAGGCCGTGCTGTACTGTATGCCTCCAGGCTGAATGCTCAGATGTCAAGCTTGAGGTCCATTCCTAAGATCTATAGAGTCTATGTCCTGAGTACACACTCCTGTAGTACAATCTGTCCCCTGTCCAGCTCCCTGATTTGGCTGGTTTCAGGACTGCCTCTTTGCCTCAGCCTGCTGAACAAGCATCTCTTCAAATTGTGAGAGGCCGTGCTGTACTGTATGCCTCCAGGCTGAATGCTCAGATGTCAAGCTTGAGGTCCATTCCTAAGATCTATAGAGTCTATGTCCTGAGTACACACTCCTGTAGAGTGTGTCCTGGACTCTTTGTGCAGGGCAGGAGAGGACCATCTCTTGAGGTCCATTCCTAAGGCCTTCAGATCCTGCTTGCAGATCTCCTTGTATCACAGCTGTGGTCTCCCTCTGGGCTGCTTTCCCTGCACTAATTCTCCATATAGGAGATCTTTCGGAATCCAACTGTCAGCCATTCTCACAACATGCCAATGTAGACTGTTGCAGTAATGTATAGATGCTAACAATTCCAGCTTGTTCCAGGACTCCACTATTTGGAACTTTGTCCTGCCAGGCTTTACCAAAAATGTGTCGGAGCCAATGTATACAGAATGTGTTCAGCTTCCTCTTCTGCCGTTTACAAAGGCTCCAGGACTCACTGCAGTACAGGAGTGTGCTCAGGACACAGGCTCTATAGATCTGGATCTTGGTGTATGCTGTCAACCTCTTATTAAGCCATACTCTCTTTGTGAGTCTAGAGAACATGGTAGCTGCTTTGCCAATGCGTTTATCCAGCTCGACATCTAGGGAGAGTGTCAGAGATTGTTGAGCCGAGGTACACGAAACTGTGAAGAACCTCCAGTTCTTGTGTAGAGATGGTAATAGAAGGAGGTGAGTCCATGCCCTGGCCCATGACTTGTGTTTTCTTCAGGCTGATTTATTTATTTATTTTATATCCCGCCTATCTAGCCAACTCAGGACCACTCTAGGCGGCTAACAACCATCAAATAATAAAAATATACATATATAAGATAGCATAAATAATTGTAAATCTGAAATCTTGGCAGGCCTTGCTAAAACGATTCATGAGTTGCTGGAGCTCTTCAGCAGAGTGGGCATGCATTTCAGTTGGACTTTGGTCTTCGCTCTCAGTCTAGAGAGATTAAAGAGCTTTCCATCTGATCTAGTCCAGAGACAGACACCTTCTGTTGCAGTTCTAAAAGTGTGTTTCATCATGACAGCAAAAAAAGATCCCAAACAGAGTCCTTGCGAGGTTTCACTCCACTTCAGATGTCAAAGGGATCTGATGTTGAGCCATCAAAAACTACAGTGCCCTTCATTTCCTTATGAAAGGACCTGACGATGTTAAGGAGTCCTATAAGCAAGCCTTAGAGAACTGCTGGAGCTAGTGTTTGGGAGTTCGATTCCCCGCTGTGCCTCCTTGATAGGAGGTGGACCCTAAGGTCCTTTTCAGCTCTGCAGTTCTAAGATGATGATTGACAGCACCCAGCAGGACACATTTCAAGTCTTTTCCCTCGTTGGTGGGGACATTGCTCCCCTCATACAGTACTTCATACAGCTCCAGAGTGCTTTATTGATTATTCACCACGTTAATATTGTGACCATTTCCCTCAGCAATGTGCATTTTCAAGCATTCTCCTCAGTTATACCGTTTAAAAACCAAACGTCCCTTCCATCATCTCGTTCTTGGTAGGTCACACCTGGGCGTAACAGAAAGTTTTTTAGTTTTGTGACAGGGAGTGGGTCTTTTTTTTTAATTCTGAGATAAAGGTAAGACGTTTATTTATTATTTTCCTTATTTGGTGAGAAGCCCAGGCGGGGTTTCGAACTATTTCCTCTCTGCTAACAAGCACAATTGCTCTGCGGAAGGTTACTCGAGCATCTCTGAGAGAGCGGAACAATCTAAACGGGCTTCCTCTGATTTTACTGCTCTACGGTTCAACGCAATGTTTTCCTTCCCGGCCTCATCACGACCCCCTCCCGTTGCCCTGGCTCAACCAACCCCAATAAACGACAATACGGGGACGGGATTGGTTCAGCCAGCGGGCCTAATTGACGCAACGACCAATCTCATTCCCGTGAAGGCCAATCCGGCAAAATGTTCACACCCTCCTTTCCTTCCTCCCGCCCCCGTCGACGCGAGGCCCCTTGCCTCCCGCTGATTGGCCTTCCCGGCCGCCACCAATCGCTGCGAGCTGAAGGAGCAAACGAGAAGAGGAAGGAGGAGCGAAAGGGGAGGGGAAGGCCCAAGCATCCTAACCCCCGCCCCCTTTCTCCCGTCCGATCCACTCCGTGCGTCGCTTTCCTCGTGACGGACCTGAGGAGTGGCCAATGCGCTTGCCCGCCGAGGCGCGGAGCGGAGGAAGGGCGGGGCGAGTCCGCCGCTCGGCAGCCAATGAAGGAGCAAACGAGAAGAGGAAGGAGGAGCGAAAGGGGAGGGGAAGGCCCAAGCATCCTAACCCCCGCCCCCTTTCTCCCGTCCGATCCACTCCGTGCGTCGCTTTCCTCGTGACGGACCTGAGGAGTGGCCAATGCGCTTGCCCGCCGAGGCGCGGAGCGGAGGAAGGGCGGGGCGAGTCCGCCGCTCGGCAGCCAATGGCGGGCGTGGAGCGGTGAG